TCTTCTTCTTCTTCTTCAACGTTCACCGCTTCTTCTCTTCCAACGTCGTTAGTCCCACTTGGTTCACCACCTAGGTTTGGCGGAGGAACATAAGGGACCATTTGAGCGTAGGGGTAGTTGACAAAGTCAAAATACCCGTGAAGCTCACGGCTCAGAATATTGACGTTATGTGCCGTTTTGGAGACGTTGGTGTCTATCCGAGAAAGGGTGGTTGTCAAAGCCGCCATTTGCTCGGCGAGAGACAGATTGGTTGAAGCGGTGGCAGGCGAGGCAGTAGCTCTCGGTTGGCGACGAGGACGAGGCTGCGGGAACGTAGCTTCATCGGTTCCCGGGTGGAAGGAAGACTCGTCAATCTCCCAATGCTTTGTTCCTTTGCATTTTGGCCCGACGTCCGTCTTGATGTGGAACTCATCAAGGATTGCCATGACAAGGAGAGCATAGGGGAGCGGCCGGTTGTCGGAGGTGGCGTTGAACATGTGAGTCATCACAAATTTACACCAATTGATATTGGCGTTGTGAATCATCACATGGATCGTCTTTGTGTCCTCTTGGGAGAGAGTGGTGTGATTGAACTTCCTAGGCTTGAGAATCCGTGTCAAAACATAAAAAATGAATCGAAACACAGGACTCATGGAAGCAATCGTAGGGCGCCGCTGTTGGGGAGTGGGGACGAAGTTTCGAATGCCCACTTCCTCCAAGAGGGCGGTCTCGTTGAATCGCGCTCCTTCTTCTCCGACGTAGAGCCCGAGATCCTGTCCGTCCCAACGAAGCACGGTGAGGATTTGAATGTTTTCCTCATTCAAATAGATGTCCACCCCGTTGACGTTAGAAATCAACGCTCCGTCCTCATCCTTTTTCAAGTTCGAATAGAAGGCTCGAACAAGAAAAGGATGGTAGTCGTTCTTCTTGATGTAGAGGAGGTCGAGGAAGTGTCCTTCTTGGAGGATGACCCGTGCCTGGCGTGGAATTGAACTGTGAATGAAGCGGCCTGTGGAGAACCGGGGAGGGAGAATTTCCTGGTGCTCAAACTTCTCCGAGAACCGCGTTGCCTCTGCGCGGTCGTTGAACCAAAGGAACGACCCATCGAGGTACTTGTGCGCCGGTGGTGGAGGAGGAGCTGAGGAGGAAGCAACGTTCTTCCCGGTGCGAGATCATTTTCTTTGACCTCCTGCCATTGCAACAAGAGAGAGGAGAGAACAAATTTGTAGAAATTTTATATAGAAAAAGAAGAACTATTGCAAGAATGATGAATTATGATGAATATATTGAGAGAATATGATTGGTATGAGTGAATATTGAAGGGATATCACCAATTTATAGTGGAGGAGGCCTGAAGATCCGTTGGTGTGGTCAAATGTGAGTTTAATGCAGTTCCAACGGTTAGAAAACGGTCAGATTTTTGAAAAATCTCCGTTGATAATCGATTTACACTCCCTGTAAATCGATTATCTGAGTCTTCAAATTCTCCGCCAAAAAGAACTGCAGGCTGCGATAGTCGATTTACGGTTTAAGTAAATCGATTGTTGAAGTTTGCGCCTGAGTTTCTTTGAACTTCTGCAGCCTCAAATAATCGATTATCTCAATGTTGATAATCGATTGTTAGCTCCTTCAGATTCTTGGCTCCAAACTTCTGCGGGCTCTGATAGTCGATTATCACAAGCCTGTAAATCGATTTACAGCATGTTTTGTAAAGAAAATCGATTTACTTTGTTCCCCTTGACTTTGACACCTGAAAATAAAAAACATTTGGCACCCGTTTGGTCTTTTGGGTCCTAGAGGATTAGTAACACGACTTTTTAAACTAATAAACACACGCACCCATAATATACTCGAATTGAAATCAAAATATACCCGAATTGAAATATATATCGAAGTATATTCGAACCACAATGTAACCGAAACAGAAATCAATCCGAATCGATTGACATCCGAACTGAATCTGAACCGACCCGAAACAGAAAAATGAATGACACCGAATTAAATCCGAATCAATATTAAACCGAACCGATTATAACAAATATCCAAAAGATATGTGAACCAAATTATTCCAAACCGGAACTTATCTGATTGACCCAATTGCCACGTCTAATCACTGGGAATCACATTTGTGATCAATTGAAAGATATGGTTCTCTGATGTATTAATGTGTACATCAATTAAGCATGAAGATGTTTCTTCAAGATTGGAATCTAACAGTCCAAAAAAAACTTGAGTTTTAAACTAATACATCAGAGACAAGTACATGCTAACAGACACAGCGTAAATTAATAAATTGAATAAAAGTAAGTAAATAACTACAGAAATGAACTGTAACCACCGCCAAGCGGAACTATCGGCTTGAATATGGCAGTCACCACGAAGCAGGGACAGAGCTGGAAATCAATACTCTGAAAGACAAAGACACTATTGGAAGTTAGACCTTTCTAAAAGTTGAAGAAAATTTTTCAATGCCTGAAATGTCCAAAAGAAGCATTATACACACATACTACGTAGTATATTGCAACAGATGAGAAGATAAAACCAACGAAATTTGCCATTTCATTGGCCACCTTTGCTTTTTTTGATTATTTTATTTTTGCAGGATCTGGAGTCTGTTTACATCATAGCTTGATACTAGTAACTTGCATATAACCCCAGGAAATAGAAATGACGCCATAAAATGCCCCGAGTTGTTGGGAATGGAAGTCCTTCCATGCCATGCATGGGTGGGTATATTCAGTTCAAGGCTTCTACTTCAAGACTTGCATCCCATGCATGGGTTGGGAATATGTACCAACTACCAACAACAAACTCAGTATTATCCCAACTAAATGAGTTTGGGGGTCAAGATGTACTCAGCCTTATCCCTCTAAAACACAGAGAGGCTGTTGGACCCTTGATGCATTTGCTGAACAATACTTGATTAAATTGAAGAAGCAAGGGAAGTTTAATGTGCCATGTTGATTTAGTCCATTATTTACTTGAAGTAAAAACATTTTCAATGGACAGTCGTTTATGAGAGAAAATGCTTGGCAACAATAAGAGTAGTGAAACTATGTAGTGTGATGTTGAAAAAATAGAGAATATGAAACCAGAGCTGTTCTCTGCTCATTTAGGTAGAGGTGAAGTCTCTGCAAACATTGTCCCAAAGAGCAGTTCTCTACTCTAGATTGGGTGGGGTATACTGTGTTTGTTTTGCTTGGGAGACCAGACCAGAACTGTAGTTTTACTAGTAACTCAAGCGGCGTAAATGCACAAGGACAAGTTTTCAGGAAGATATGCAGAAAAAAGGATTGACATACCGGGATGCTTAGTAGTAACCCATTACTGTTAACCAGGACAGGTAGAGTTCTTCTTGCAGCGACTGGAATAGACTTCAATGTGGAGAGGGCCCTTTGAGCTGATTGTTTTGCATAATCAGTGCATGAGATTCCCAGAGTTCTGTCCGCATCTGAAGCAAACAGTAATGGTTTGCTCTGAGAACTTGCTAGCTGTGCAAGGTACAACCAATCAGCATCTATCATGTGGCGCACCTCAGCTACCATATTAAGTCCAATGACACACAAACTGCAAGAGTTCCATCTTTCACCGACATTTTTTTCACTAGCATCTGTATCTTTAATGGTATATAAGTTACAATATGCTTTCTTCCTGATATTCCATTTTACCAAGAATCTGTTCATGAAGTAACCCAAGTCATCCTGGTAAAGCACTCTGCTTGGAATATAATTGGCAGGTTCTTCAATTTCTAACTCTAAACAAGAGATTTTATTGGGTTGAGACCTGAAAATTTCACTCTCATTTTCCTGCAAAGAAACAATACTCTGATAGGTAGACTCACTGAGAATGCCTCGCCTTCTGGCTTCAACTAGAACAGACTCTGAAGATTTTAAATCTAAGAAGTTCGGTCGCAATCCATCCAGAAAAAATTGATCTGCATATACTTTTGCTTCTGTTATTATTTGCTCTACATCACCTTTTGAGCACTTCAATACGTTGTTAAGAAACATATCTGATAATCCCGTCTTCAAAGAGAGATTTTCATTGGGTAAGCAGCAAAGAAGCATTTTGGTGCCTTTGGAACCAGGAGCTGGACATAGGTAACAACCAGCTGCCGTAAGACAGGTCTGCATGAGTGATATTATTAAACCATTAATGAATACATCTGATTATCATGGACTAGTAGTATATATACCTTATAAGATATCACAAACATCATCATGCAGAAATATTATTTTAGTTTGAATGTAGATTTCTGTCCCTAACACTCTAACTAGAATGTAAAGTTGTCCATGACATAATTCGCTGTACTGATATCACAGAAAGTTAAAATGAGAGCAAAATGTTATGTTTAAAACACACACCTTGCATGGAGAAATACGAATGTAGTCAAGAATCAACCTTAAAGCACTTCCTCGGATATGTCTTCTTCTTTGGGAAACAAACTGATGGACAATGAATCAAAGCAACAATAATACCCATTAGTATAAAGTTTCTAGATAGAGGAAATTTAGTATTGATTAAAAATATGTGTAGAACATTAAATGGGAGCACCTGCAGAACCAAGGAAATGAACTTTGAAAGGATTATGTCCTCAACTTCCAAGGGATTTAGAAGACCTAGATCAACCACCGCATAACCTAGCTAAATCCATTCAACAATGCATTTAAGAATATATATATATATATATATATATATATATATATATATATATATATATATATATATATATATATATATATATATATATATATATATATATATATATATATATATATATATATATATATATATGAAAAGATTTGAAAAAACGTGATGGCATTATGGTAAATAAGTTGAACTTTACTCCCAATGCCGAAAATGCACTACCGCAATGTAAAAATGCATCGTGAGGCATAAAAATGCATTATTTTCAAGATAAGGTCTATTCTGGCAGAAAGGACCATTCTCACTTGAATCAATATATATATATATATATATATATATATATATATATATATATATATATATAAAGGAAGTGCAAGTGCTCCTAACTACCAATGTTGTTTCACAACAACAACCCAGTTGAATCCCACAAGAGTAGGAACTGGAGAGGGTGTGTGTACGCAAATCTTACCCCTACTCGAAAGTAGAGAGGCTATTTCTAAAGAGACTCAGCATCGAAAGTTGCATTGATTGACTAACTATGACTTCATTAATTAAAGAAGCGCAGACAGTTTAGAGATCCATTTTGCATTATTCCATCACACCCCAAAGCCAAAAAAGTGAATTTTTGGCTCCATGAGAGATGATGCATACTTTAAAGAAATGCAAATGCAAATACAAAACTTTGTTCAAACCATGTATTTTCACTATTGCTTCATATTGGTTAATCACTTAGTCCAATAGACAACTGACAGTAAATAACAATCATGAGGTCAAATTAATAAGATCAAAAAAGTGCGACTGGATTAATATACTTCACGAAAAAATCTGCATTTATTTTTCTTGGCTAAAAAAAAACTAGAAATACAGGAATTTAGGAGAACTACACAACCAAAACTGAAACATATGATATGAGGCAATAAAACACCATGAGGGTTTGTGTACCAAATTGAAGAGGTATGGGCTTAGGAAAGTAAGAAACTACATGATTTAAATGCTGCATTGTCGGAAAAGCAGTGATAGCACCCACAACTCTTTAGCTGCTCATGTATATGAACAAAAATCAACCCAAATATAAACTTTCTTCAGGCTAAAATCTAAAATTGGTTACAACCCAGGTTATATATGACTAACAATAATTCAAGCTCAATGTCTATGTTTAGATGGTCTCTGAAGACAAATTGAGAAGAGCAGCACCACCACACAGATTTACCAGGAGAGCACTTATTGGAGTTGATGGTTTTGTTGCTGGTTGTTGAAGGAAGAGAAAATGTTACTGTGACTAGAATAATAGAATTATGACACAGGATGGCAGACAGTGGTCCCACTCTAAGTGCATCTAGAATACTATTCGAAACCATTACAATAATAGTTGCTTATGAAGAGTTGAAGAGTTTGGTATATCATCTGATAATGATTAGTATCAAGTACTCCGTATATCTTAACATTAAGTTGATAGCAATGAACAGCACAGAACATACAATACAAACCTTGTCAAAATACTCTCCTTCCCATACAATTCTTTACACTTTGCTTTTTTATGGGTGTCCCAAAAAAATACTCTACACATACACTTTAATTCCTATTTCGGTAATGAATATGTGGCTACCAACAATTATATCTCCTCTAAATAATTTATAACCACACTTTTTACTTTTCAACAACTTCTTAAACTCCATGAAATCAAAGTGTCAAGAATTTAATGGGACTGATGGAGTAGTAATCATTTAAAAGGGTAAATACTAAACATGGATAATTTGTTGAAGATAGTCAACACTAACTGAACATAGTCAACACTAAACATGCCACCTCTCACATTTAGATATCACAGGCACAACATTGTGTTTTTATACTCAACTCACAAAGCATTCAAAGAGCTCTATTATTTTTGTTCATACTAACATCAATTAGTGAGATATCGTATGGTTGAGTGAACAATTGACACATTAATAAATGCACAAAACACAATTCTATTGGTTCACTTAATAATGTACTCCCTCCATCCCAATATAGGCTCTTGATTTTGTTTGGCACAAAGTTTAAGAAAAGTAAAATTGCACTGCTCAAAGTGGTGCAAAGGAGAGAAATATTGCAAGCCATAGAAAGTTTTACAAAACTGGAAAGAAAAATCTTTTTTTGGGACATCCCAAAAAGGAAATGATTTCAATTTTGGGACGGGGAGAATGAAATTGTGCATTTATTAATGAATTGGTTAATTGTTCACTCAAATCATACCTTATCACATGAGTTGATGTTACTATCGAATATCGACATTGTGAATGTAGAAGTTTTGTTACAGCTATTTGTGAATGTAGAACTAACATGTCCACTTCAAACTATGTTGGTTCCCTTCTTTGATATCCATTTAAAGTTAACGCTTTTAGATGAATTTACATATTCGAGGATTTGAATATATATGAATTGTATTTGAAGCTCCGTGCTACTCATTGTATCATCTAATGCCCAAACGTATATTTGAGATTAAAAACTTTCTGGCACACAAAAGGCATTAAATAGCGAGTCTATATCCATCAAATTAAAATTGTCGAATATATTTAGGAAATTCACCTAAAAAGTGAATTTGTTCAGAATTTTTTAGAATAGGTGAAGCTTGCAAAGACTTAGTTTGATACTTTGATGCATCATGCCGACATTTAAAATTATGCACAAACAAAAGAAGATTTTATATATGCTTTTACCTGTGAGGAATTCTCACAAACAATAATTATAAGTGCAACAAATGAGGGTTAGAATTTTACAAATGTCATCCTTTTTGGGTATAACTAAAGAGACTAAAATACGAGGACCGTGTATGCTAACACTTTAGATGGTTATGGAAATGCCAAACTTGCTATGGATTACGGTTATCATGGAATAGAGTTCCGAAAGAAACTTTATTAAAACCTTTCAATAATAACCAATGCAAGTATGAGAATTGTTTACTCGTAATAGAAAAATATCTCTACTCTCTAAACCACTGCATATAGCTGCAGCTTGGCATGCTTGCATTTTGAAATCTAGTTACCTTTTATTTTCATGCCAGCCACAAGTGCTCCTACCACTAGTTCATTTTACGTTGTAGCCGCTTTATATGAGTGTTAGGAGAAATGGTTCAAGTCTTCAAGATAAAGGTGAAGAACAAAATAATATTTCTAGCAATATATCTAATTTGGTCAAACTTTATCATCTTTATTTGCCTATTTAGTTACTCCTTTGATAAAATAATATAGTCATGTCACATCTTGTTTTATAGAACTTTTTTATGTAAATTCTAAATATATAAATTTTATTTTTTAATTTTATACCAATTATTAATTATAACATCGAAAGAGAAGTTTTTTTGGACGGGGAGTATAATATATGGCAAAGGCTGGTTTTTATGTGGCTTCTACTCCAGCATTTTCATTAAATATGATTTATTTCTCAATAAAGTCGCTTTTGGAGAAACAAGAACGCTTCACTTTCAAACTCACCTCATCATGCATGTATAACAAGAACGCTTCACTTTCAAACTCACCTCATCATGCATGTATACTTTTACTTCTTAAAAGTTTGAGATATTTTGTGCAACGTCCACAATGTAATACTGCTTAGAAACTGAGTTGGACTCCATGTTCCCCAAAAATAGAGTTTCTTATAGCATGTCTGAGCATGTCTTTTAGCAACACATATGAGAGTGCTTTCACATAATAGTATAATACAAAAGGCGTGGAGCCTAGGATATTGATTTGCAATTTACAACTTCCATAAAAAATTGTAACGTACACATGATACATTATAGTCTCATGATTATTCACAAAGAAATGTTGGGCATGGGAAAACTTGTCTCTTCATAGATTTCATGGTAATAGCCTTTTTATGCAATGGATTGGAGCTCAATTTGTCCAGTAGCTCAAGCTCCCAACCCAAAACAGCGGAAATGATAGAACACACTTCGAGGCTGTTTAAATGTAATTTCAATGGAGCTGTATTTGATGATATAAATAAAGTAGGATTTGATTCCATGAATGGAGATTGTGAGGGACAATTGGGTAAAATATGTGAGTGTAACAAATATTCCCTCCATCCCACAAACAAGTTTCTGTTGTGGTTAACAAAGCTTGTTGCGGTTAACAATGCTTGATCGAACTTATTTTCAATTTAAGTAGTACTCCCTCCGCCCGGGAATGATGTTCCCATTTTGACTTTTCTGAGTTTGACTAATGGCTTGAAAGGACTAAAATGCCCTTGCAACTTTCAGCCTCACCACAGCCCACCTCCCACTAGCAACCCCCACCGCCAGGCTCACCACTGCCCACCTCCCACTAACACCTACC